GGAAAGAACTGGAAAACATTCAAATTCATGGAGACTGAGTAACATGCTATTAAAGAAAGAATGCTTTAGCAATGAGATCAATAAAGAAATCAAAAAGTTCCTGGTCACAAATGAAAATGAACACAAACAGCCCAAAACCTATGGAACACAGCAAAGGCAGTCCTGAGAGGGAAGTTCATAGCAATACAGGCCTACCTAAACAAGACAGAAACATTTCAAATAAACAATCTAACCCTACATCTACAAGAACTGGAGGAACAACAACAAACAAAGCCCAGAGACAGCAGAAGGAAGGAAATAATCAATATCGGAGCAGAATTAAATGACATAGAGACTAAAAGAACAATTCAAAGGGTCAATAAATCCAGGAGCTATTTCTTTGAAAAGATAAACAAAATTGACAAGCCTTCAACCATACAATCAAGAAAAAAAGGGAGAGGACCCAAATAAATGAAATAAGAAATGAAAGAGGAGAAATTACAACCAATACCACAGAAATACAAAGGATTGTAAGAAATTACTATGAACAAATATACACCAAAAATTTTGACAACCTGGGCAAAATGACAAAATGGACACATTTCTAGAAACCTATAATCTTCCAAAACTGAATCAAGAAGGAGCAGGAAGCCTGAATAGACTGACAGGAACAAGTGAAATTGAAGCAGTATCAAAAAAACTCCCAGCACACAAAAGCCATGGACTAGATGGATTCAGAGATGAATTTTACCAAACACTTAAGGAAGAGCTAACTTCTGTCGTGAAGCTACCATATTTTGTTGTGTACCATGTGCACTTTTTTGTTGAAATTTTTGAGGGAAAAATAAGGATGCGCATTATACATGGGTAATAATAATTCCATTTTATATAAATGTATTTAATTCTTTTATTTATGCCTATGCATTAAAAGTGTAACTCTTAAAGCAATACAGATATCCACATGCAAAATAATACTCTGGATTGTGATAATCAGTTTTGTTTTTAAATATAAATAAAAAAAGAATTAAAAATAAAAATGATAAATTTTTTTCCCTGAAGGTTTGGTCCAAAATTATGGGTGCAAACTATACACAGCAGTGAATTATACACAGTGAAATACTGTATTCCAAAAAATTCATGAAAAGGGAAGACTCTCAAACTCTTTTTATGAGGACAGTATTATCCTAATCCCAAAATGAGGTAAAGACATAACAAAGAAAGAAAACTATAGGCCAATATCGCTGATGAACATAGATGCTAAAATCCTCAACAAATTATTGGCAAACTGGATCCAGCAATGACATTAAAAAGATCATACACCATCATCAAGTACGATTCATCCCAGGGATGCAAGGACGATATAATATTTGCAAATAAGTAAACATAATACACCACATAAACAAAAGGAAAGACAAAAATCACATCATGATAACAATAGATGCTGAAAAAGTATTTGATAAAGTACAGCACCCATTTATGATAAAAATGTACAACAAAGTGATAACCGTAGGTCTTGGTAGTGGGAGCATATATCAACATAATAAAGGCCATATACAAGAAACCTACAGCCAAAATCATGCTCAAGAGGCAAAATTTAAAAGGTTTTCCCCTAAGACAGGGCACAAGACAAGGGTGTCCACTTAAACCACTTTTATTCTACATAGTATTGGAAGCTCTAGCTACAGCAATAAGATAAGAAATAGGAAAGGAGGAAATAAAACTGTCAATATTTGTAGATGACATGATAATGTACATAGAAAACGCTACAGGCTCCACCAAAAAACTTGACCTAGTAAGTGAATTTGGTAAAATAGCAGGATAAAAGTCAATATTCAGAAATCGAAGGCATTTTGTACACTGACAATGAAATATCAGAAACGGAAACTAGGAAAAAATCCAATTTACTATAGTAACAAGAAAATAAAGTCCCTAGGAATAAACTTAACCAGGGAGGTAAAAGACCTGTACTCAGAAAAGTACAGAATACTGAAGAAAGAAATTAAGGAAGATACAAATAATGGAAGCATATACTGTGTTCATGGATTGGAAGAATTAGTATCATTAAAATGTCCATACTACCCAAAACAATCTACAGACTCAAAGGGATCCCTATTAAAATATCAAGGACATATTTCACAGATTTACAACAAATATTTCAAAAATTTATATGGAACAAGATAGCCTCAGCAATTTTGAGAAATAAGAACAAAGTAGGAGGGATCACAATAGCTGATATCAAATATGCTACAAGGACACCGTAATCAAAACAGTTTGATACTGACATAAGGACACACACATCAGTGGAATAGAACAGAGAGCCCAGAAACAAACCCATGTCTCTATGGTCAATTAATATTCAACAAAGGGGGCAGAACCATAAAATGGAGTAAAAATAGCCTCTTCAACAAATGGTGTTGGGACAACTGGACTGGTACGTGGGGAAAAAAAGAAAAAGAAAAAAAAACAACAACTAGACAACCAATTTGCACCACACATCAGAAAACTCAAATGGATAAAAAAGACTTAAACATAATCTGTGATTCCATAAAAGTCCTAGAGGAAAACATAGGCAGTAAAAGTTTAGATATTCCATGCAGCAAGAGTTTCACCGATATATCCTCTAGGGCAAAGGATATAAAGAAAAGAATAAACAAATGGAACTACATCAAATTAAAAAGTTTCTGCATGGCTAAAGAAAACATAAAAACTAAAAGGGAACCGACTGTGTGGAAAACATATTTGCCAATGATGCCTTGGACAAAGGTTTGATCTCCAAAATGTATAAAGAACTTATATGACTCAACACCATGAAGACAAACATTCCAATTAAAAAATGGGCAAGGGACCTGAACAGACACTTCTCCAAGGAGGACCTACAGAGAGCCCACAGACATGAAAGGATGCTCAATATCATTTCAAATTAAAACCACAATGGATACCACCTAACACCTGCCAAAATGGCCATCATTAACAAGTCAACAAACAAGTGCTGGTGAGGATGCGGAGAAAAGGGAACCCTAGTGCACTGTTGGTGGGAATGCAGACTGGTGCAGCCACTGTGGAAAACAGTATGGAATTTCCTCAAAAAACTAAAAATGGAACTGCCTTTTGATCCAGTGATTCCATTGCTGAGATTATACCCTAAGAATACTGAAACACCAATTCAAATGAATCTAAGCATCCCTATGTTCTAGCAGCATTATTTACAATAGCCAAGTGCTGGAAATAGCCTAAATGCCCATCAGTAAATGAGTGGATCAAAAAACCGTGGTACATTTACACAATGGAATACCACACAGCAGAATGAGAGAAGGAACTCCTATCTTTTGCGAAAGCATGGATGAACTGGAAGAATATTATGCTAAGTGAAAAAAGCCAGGTGGTAAAAGACAAATACCATACGATCTCACTTATAAGAGGAACCCAACGAACAAAACAAACAAATGAGGAAAATAGAACCAGAGGTGCGGATACAAGGAACAGACTGACCACATCTAGAGGGAAGGGGGCATGGGAATAAGGGGCAAAGAAGGGGAAGGGTCTAGTTAAGGAATAGGTATAAATATAAATACCCATGGCATTGACAACAGTGTGGGGAATGACTGTGTGAGCAGGAGGTGGGCAGGGCAGGGGAGAGCTACAGGGGAAAACTGGGACAAATGTAAATGAACAACAATAAAAAAAGACTATAGTTAAGTGAGGCAACTAAAACTAAGTAAGGAGCATATTCAATAATCAAAATAATAATCAGACAATTACCTAACTCACTATACTTTTTAGGCTGTATTAATAAAAGCTAATGTAAATTTTGTATGTAAGAATCATGGATTCAATTGTACAATGAATAATTTGGAATTATGTGACTTAATGTTCCAGGAGTATCCATCTTAAGTGGTACAGAGAATTGAAAACTTCCTGTCCTGGCATAAAAAAATTATGCTAAGTGAAAGACACTACATAAAAATTATGTTTTTAAATATACAAAAACTATATATATTTATAAATCTGTACATATAAAATTATATAATTGAATACCAATTTATGTAGGCACACACACATATTGTGATTGTATTTATATGACATATCCAGAAAAGGCAAATTTACAGAGTGAAAGCAGACCAGTAGATAGGGGCTGGGAGTGTAGATTGATTGCAAAATGGCTTGTAGGAATTTTTTCTGAGGTGATGGGAATTTTTAAAACTGGATTATGGCACAGCTCTAAATTTACTAAAATTATTGAACTGTACATTTACATTAGAATAGCAAAGAGCAAATTTTATGGATAAAGATTTTACTTGAGTAAAGCTGATTTTACTTCAAAAAAACTATGGTATTCACTCCAATACAAAGAACTGACTTAGTTTAACTGAAAACAGTACAAACCTACTAATTAAATCTGTTCCATTTAAACACCATTAAACATTTGGGGAAAAAAACTAACCAAAAAAAAAAAAAAAAAATCCCAGCTAAGCTATTATTACCAAATCTGTTTTGATAATGTTGCCAATTGCTTCAAGAAATAGGCCACTTTAACACGTCAATTAGTGTAATCCGAGAAGCATCAAGCTTGAGCTGAACTGATAACAAGACAGTAACTTCTGTCTCTGAAAATAAGTTTTCAGTTTTCTTTTAACTGTAGGTTTCTGACTTTGATACTTAGATGGAAGAAAATTTTAACATACAAATAGTACTTTTAGATGCAGTAAAATAAATTCGCAATAACTTTCTATTTTTTTTCAAACAGTAAAAATAAACAGAATAAAATGCAGGATTTAATTTTAGAGCTTCACTGACTACGTAACATCTATGAATTTTTAGTGTTTTTTTTACTAAACTAGGTACATGAATTTTTTTGAAAAAAAAAACCACCTTTGATTCAAACATTAAAAGCTTCCTGTGCAAAACTACTATGGTTTGAAATTACAATATTTTACTGTTTGCTATTCCATTCAAGGAACAATGTAGTTATTGTACTGAATTATTTGTTCCTCTTTTCATGTGATATATAATACAGCACTCACCCTGCTTTCTTCTAGGCTATCAAATGGACCTGGTGGATCATCCAGACAAAGAAATTCTCTCACTGCCAGGCTTTTCAAAGGAAAAAAAAAATTAGCTGTGGTACAAATAAGTTTACAAAAGATTGCAAAATGCAAGTTACTTTGATATAGTCTTTTAAGCAAGTTGGCTGCTAATATACCAAAATAAACAAGTTGGTTTACGTGGATTCACACAAGCAACCAAATATCATAAAATATACAGAAGATATAAAGATTTTAAACTATGTTCTAAGATCTTATGAACACATAGATGGAGAATTTGTTACATAAAAACTATAGGACATAAGACATAATTCAGAATAATGGCACAGAGACCAATGTAAATGGTGAATACTTTCTCTCAAAGAAGTGTTAGTTTGAACCAGTCTAAAAATGTCCATCTTGTTATGAAAAAATACTATTTCTTACTTATACTTCATCTGTTTTTTCTTTGGGGGCTGTGTCTAAAGTAACTGAAGAGTACCTACTCTGAAAGAGGTTAAAGATTTTTCTTGCAATCTTTTATATTAGTTTACTTAAATACTTTGCCTAGGAATTCAAGGGAAAAATTCTGACTATCCCATTTCTAAATTAGCATAAATTTTGAAATAATGAAATATAGTATTGCTATGCTTATACTTCTCAGTTATCAAAAATAGGTTAAGGTTGTAGGAAATTAAGCTCCCTTTTTACAAAAATATTCCACTCTAAAAGCAGTTTTGGATAGAGACAGTTCTATGTGCACATTAAAACATAAATGTCGATATTTAACTTTTTAAGGTATAAAAACACAGAAATATAATTTCTTAATGTACTACATAAAGGAGATGTCAACCTATGCTGAAAAGGAAATGGGATTTTGGGTTCAGATTGGGCCAGATAGGTTGACAATGACAGGGGATGGTCATAAAGAGAAAAATGGGATTTTTAGTGAAATCTTCCCTCCGAAAATCAGTATGATTATAGAATAATGTATTAAGAAAACAATCCAGCATTAATATAGATAAGTGGTGTTAAGAAGCAATCCAGAAGATCCCAAAGAGGAGCAAGTTTCTGGACTATTAAACCTTGACAACATAGGTAATAAAGGACATAGTCAAAGAAAACAGAAAAAACTTGAGTATTCACAATCAGAGAGTTGTAAGAGATGGAAGGGCTTTTAAATGTGGTAGAGTGGAACCACCCATAGAATGTTTTATCCCTTTAACATGTTTGGCCAAGAGAATACCTAAAAACCTCCAAAAATAGGGAATATTCTATCCTATGTCTGAACAACTGAAAATTAGAAAACGATTTCCTTCACTGAGCTGGGACTTTTCTTCTGGCAGCTTCAATTCATGAGTCTTAGGTCTGCTTTTTGGGGCCATTCAAAATAAATTCTTTCACATGATCATCCTAAGATATGTCAACAATGTTATATTTCCTCTAACCTCCTCTCTCCAAGAAGCAATAATACACTAACATTTTCTTTCCTTCTTTTTCTTTTCATGTCACAAAATTAATTCAGTCTTCAAGCCTTACAGTCTGCATTCATGAAGCCAACATTTTTTTCCCCAGCTTTACTGAGGCATAATTGACAATTACAAATTGTACACATTTAAAATGTACAACTTGATTTGATATATGCATACATTGTGGAACTTGAACTGCAATCAAGATAATTAACATATTAATCACCTCACGTTTTCTAACATTTTCAAAGTATGTTGTACACATGGGGCAACATATCCTATTTCAATTAATTTTCACTACGATCATGTAAGGTAAGAATAGGCATTATTTCACTATTTTACAAATGATACCAAAGTTCAGAGAGGTAAAATGACTCACTCAAGGTCACATAATGCATATAGCAGGGGCACCTCTTAAATTTCTTCTGAGTATAAACATGTATCTTTTTCTACCTTTAAATTCTTTTCTTTTATATTTTGGTTTATTTGGATTCTCTCCCCTTGCCAGTCACTTCACTCTCACCTCATTCAACCTCTGTTTACCTCTTTAAACAAGGCTTCAAGAATACTGCCATTGGTCTAAGAGCACAGAGAACAGGACTACCATATATATATATATATTTTGGTTTAGATATTATACTTCCCACCTATCTACTATTTATACTGGAAAACAATCTATTAGGGAAAAAATGCACTACAGGAAATAAATTATCTTGATATTGAGAAGTCAAAAGTTTGGATGAAACACTGAGATAATAGCCTTTTAGACTTAAGGTCTTAAGAAAAGAATAGTATTTTTAAAATATTTTCAGTGTATGGCAACCCATTGTGAGACATTTTCTTATGGGTTTATAAGAAAATGCCCTCATTCTTTAGTAATATTTTTATGTTCACAAATTGTTGGCATACTGCTGCTCAGAAAGAAAAAGTGGGTAAGGGAATTCATATATTTCTTTTTATATCTTTGGTTTATAGTTGAAATTCAGTCCAAGATCAACAGTGATGTTGACAATATACCTAGTTGTAGGAATCTTTCTTTTGGGGAGGTTTTTCTATTTCATTCTCCTTCTCTAAAAATCTTTATGATCTATGGCTCACTAGAGTTCTACTCTGATGAATCCAATGGATTCCCTAAGTTCTTTTCAATATAGTTTCAAGGTTATATTCCATGCCCTGCTTTCTTTAATCTGTACCATTAAGAATGAAATTTAAAACTGGTTTTACAACTTTGATTTACAAATGTTTTTTCAGTGGTTCACTATATGTTTCTTCTGTTTCAAAAGGACTCAACTGGAAAAGGAAAGTCAATACTCTCCAGCTCTATACCCATCTAAGGATAGGGTCACACAAGAATCTCTGGGAGACAGTGTTTGAGAAAACAATTTCTTTGTCAAAAAATGTGATACCTTTACCTGCCCCCCCCCCACCCCGGAAAATGAAGCCCATATCCCTGCTTGAGAATAACTGACTAGAGAACCATTTTTAGATTTGATAAATATTTGACTGCCTATGTATGCCAGGGTTCTGCTCAGTAATTTCCTATATATTATCAATGTATGACATAACTAAATCAAGTGAATTCAAATGAAATATACCAAAGAGTCTATACTATTATGTAGTCCATAACTTAAATAGAAGTCATTAAAAAAAGTCTCTTTTTCTTAAAACTTGTTCACTGATAGGTTCAATACATTCCCTAATCTCTCTTCTGTATTTGATCCTTTATACTTTGCTCCATTTGACCAGGATAATAAAGGTAAGCATAACACCTGCATAGGAGAGAAGTACCTAAGGCAACACCTAACAGCCTGGAATTAAAGGTAAGATAAGGCTCTACATCTTTCTATTCTCTTTATGTTTCATAGAGTACCATTTTAGTGTTTGGGAAAACTCTACTATAAAATTAGGATCACTTGTTGACTTAGCTGGCCTGAAGAAAAGGAGACACAGATGGCATCCCTTAGTACTGTTTTTATTATCACAGCAAATGTGCCCTGTAAATTAAACTCTTCTTTTGATCCTTGAAAAAGTTTTAAGAGTTTACTGTATTATCAAATTTCTTATAAAACTGCTTCATCCAGTGAACCTTTACCTTGTATTTACTGTTTTATTTTCCTGTTTTTCTTTCATATATATCAGTTTACATTTCACTTTTTTTTAAAAGACCAGTAATTTAATAGCTAAATGTGCTCTTTATCTTAAATGTCATACTTAAAAAAACCCCTAAAGTGAATGCTGACAAGTCATTAAGATGTCAATTAAGAATTAAGTAAAAAATTGTACTAAAAATACTAGACACCAATTCTGTCAAAACAAAATTAGGCACAATGGTCATTACATGAAAATATTATTAAGGGATTTCAGATAGAAATTTGTATCAGTTAATATTTCTCTTTATTATTCTTCACCAGTTAAAAAAATATTTTAAAAAATGGCATTAAACACTACCCTGAGAATAGGGCATTGGGGATTAAGGTTGGTGACAGTGACAGTCAAGGTATAGGAGCTGGCTTGTGGATACAGAGATCACGTTTGGCTTCCTATGGGGCCCTAGTTCAGATCTTGATTCTCTCTCTCCTACTTACTCTTCGCTCACTTGTGTCCAGATGTTCAGGTTTATTCCTTCTAGTCCAGAATGGTACTTCAAAAACCAATGTTTTATTTCCAACCCAACTTAAAACCCATCTAGCCTCCTCTAGCAAGATGGATCAAAGCTAAGATCTTGGTGTTGGCATTAAGCACTAGCTGGTAATCAGGAAAACCAGTTACCTACAGAAGTGAAGTTTTTATTGGAAGCTGAAGGAAATATGGGAGTTATCTAAGCTGGGGCTGTATGGCCAGTAGTGTGAAACACTGTCTTTCTAAGGAAGAGGATATCTGAGGGTCCCAAGGGACACTGGAGCAAGGTGACTTTGGAAAGTATTGATAAAAAGACCAATATAGCTGATGTACAGAGGATGACAACAAAACATGAAGTCAGAAAGACAGGCAGGTTGTCAAGAAGCAGAATGAGTTAAAACTCCATTTCTAAAGATCACTGTACCAGCATACCCTAAAAATCCCAAAACACCAATTTGAAAGAACTTATGCACCCCAATGGTCATAGCAGCACTATTTACAATAGCCAAGTGCTGGAAACAGCCTCAGTGCCCATCAGTATACAAATGGATTAAAAACTGGTACATCTACACAATGGAATACTATGCAACAGAAGGAAAGAAAGAAGTCCTACCTTTTGTGATGACATGGATGGAACTGGAGACTATTATGCTAAGTGAAATAAGCCAATCGGTGAAAAACAAGTACCATACGGTATCATTTATAAGAAGAATCTAATGAACTAAACAGAACAGGGACATGGAAACAGGGAACAGACTGACAGCTGCCAGAGGAAAGGTGGTGGGGTGGGGGAAGGGTAGGAAGATGGGAAGGGAGTAGTTACAGAACATGTATGAATGATCCATGGACATGGACATAGGAGTGGGGATGGACTGCGGGAGCCGGGGGTGAGGGTCAGATGGAGGAGGGCAAAGGGGAAAAACTGGGACAACTGTAACAGAATAAACAAGAATAAAAGGAAAAAAACCCAACAACACTGTGCTTACAATGGGCTACAGAAATCAGAGTGGATGAGGAAGACCAGTGGGAAAGCTTCTACAATAATCAAGGTGAGGCAACTGCTTAGACTAGGGTGTTGATGGCAAGAAAGAAGAAAAGCAGACAGATTTGAGCAAAATTTAAAATGTAAAGGAAGGAATAAGGGGTTCTAGGTAGATAATGCTGTTGGAATTTTTGGTATAGAGAGCAAGCTTTTAAGACTGTTTTAGGTTTAAGGTCACTTTGAGATACTGGAAGGAGATGTGAAGGAAGCAACTGCAAATATGAATGTGGAACAGAGAGAAGAGGTCTGAATCATAGTTCCTTTCATAGAGGAAAATGAGGATGGTGGGCAGAGGACTCAAGTAGCCATCAAGCTTAGGCAGCATGCATTAAGAACCAAAACATATATGCAAAACGTGTTATGTGTAACATAGGTGATATACAGAAAAACACTGAGGAAAAAAGTAGACAAAGTGAGACAGCATGGTTTTCTTGTTCTCCATCCTTATGTGAAAAACTACTAAAGATAGTTATAGACATAGGTATCTAGATATGCTATTGCTGTCTTGCAAATGCTCTATAATTTTTTAAAATATAGATTTACTTGATAATGTAAGTTCCAAAATTATTCAGCTGATATTAAATCATAATGCAATTTTCTTATAAATATATTCAAAAGCGAAAAGCCATGTAGATCCTTTCCTTTTTTAATGATTTTTGGTACTTTCACTTTACCTTCTGTATAAATTAACCCAACTTCATAATTTTCATATTTTTGCATTACTTTGAAAAAAAATATTACCCTCAAAATTATGTAGTGTCATATTAATCAAAAATCTAATATGAGAGGCACTTTATTTAAATGATTACTAAAATAATAAAACCTAAAATCAAGTTGAGAGTTTAGTGGTTTGAATATGGTACACTAAATTTTTAACTTTGCTGACTTTTTAAAAGTGTTAAAACAAATCAAAAACCAAATAAAGTCCTTACTGAAAAAAAGGAAATTCCATGCAATGTTTGTTAGAGGACAAATAATACTTGTTTTAGAGTTTTTGTTCACCTTGAATAACTACAGTCTTAGCTCTATTTTTTGCTTTCAACTAGTTGTTGAAATGCATTAATAATCTTTTATTTCAATTTGTTACATACCAGTGAGCAATGTCCTTGTGAGCTACTAAATTTTGAAGAAATGCTTGTAATCCTAATTGTCTATCTTCTAAAAAGTCAGCATTGTAGTTATCTTTAAACCAGCGTTTTGGTGGAAGTGCTAATCGAAAGCCTGGAAACATCTCTTTTAACTGAAAAAAAAAGAAAAAAGAATATACACTGTTCAAGTCCATTACATCAATTCTACAAAATCTATACTGTTGACTAGTTACAATGTTCATGAAATAAGCTTAAAATAAAGGAATTAAATCCAGTTAAGCTTTTTATGCCTTGATTTATTCTTTATTTCTCCCAGCTGTGTATACATAGGAGTTGCAGTTGCTCCACCTCCTTGCCAGCACTTGCATTGTCATTTTTTTTGTTAGCCATTCTAGTGGGTGTGCAGTTGTGCTTTACTGTGGCTTTAATTTGCATGTCCCTGTTGACCAATTATAGTATCTTCCCATGTGCTTATTTGGATCTGGGTATCTTCTTCGATGAATTATCTATTCAAATCTTCTGACCCCTCATATTTTAGAAGATAATTGAGTTATTTGTGTTTTTATTAAGTTGTAAGAGTTCTTTATATATTCCAGATGTCTTTTTATCAGATATGCATATGACAAATATTTTCTCCCAGACTGTGGCCTGACTTCATTTTAACAGACTTAGCAGAGCATATATTTAAATTTTATTATCTAATTTTCATCAATTTTTGTCTTTTATGGGTTATGCTTTTTTAGATCCTATCTAAGAAATCTTTTTGCAGTCCGAGGTTGCAAGAATATTCTATTTTTTTCTTTTGGACTTTTATAGTTTTAGCTCTTACATTTTGGATTATGATCTGCTTTACATTTTGGCTTAAATTTTACTTTTTTAGGGAGAGACTTTTCTACCTGCTGAATTAGATCTGCCTTTACACACTCTGTTCAATTGACTTGCGTAACAAGTTAACTCAAAGCTCAGTGACACAAACAACCATTTATTAACCATGGACCCTGTGGGCATAGTGATGATGGCTTATCTCAGCTCCACAATCAGTTAGGAACTCAGCTGGAGGATTTAAAGGTGGAAGCTGGAATCATCTGAAGTTCATTCCTACATACATACACGTAGAGAATGATGCTGGTTGCTGGCTGAGACCTTAGCTGTGTGTCAGCCATAACCTTAACATGGAGTGTCTTGGACTTTCTTACAGCATAGAGGCTGTTTCAAGGGGGAGCCTCCAAGAAAGAAAGTCAGGATGAAGCTGTGTATTTTGTATGACTTAGCCTAGTCAGACAGCATTATTTCCTCTGTCCTTTTCTGGGTGACTACTCCCAGCTCAACCATATTCATGGGGGAGGGGACACAGACTCAACCTCTTACTGGTCAATGGCAAGTTTCTGGAAGAGCATATGGGACTGAAAATATTTCTGTGAACATTTTTAGAAAAGATAATCTACCACAAATTCTCAAATTATTAATTTATTTCTAAATTACACTTATCACAATGTAAGTAATGTTTAATTTTGGACTCCCCTACTGGACCAGTGATTCTAAACCTTGGCTGTACATTAGAATCATTCAAGGAACTTGAGAAGATATTAATGACTATGACCTACCTCTGGCAGATTTTGATTTAATTAGTTGGGGTGTGGCCTGGGCACTGTAATTTTTAAGAAGTCTCCCAGGTACCAAAATACAGCTGAGGTTGAAAACCATTTTACTATCCAGTGATGATCCTGCCTTATTCACAACTGCATCCCTGTCTTAGCATGGTGCCTAAAATGTTGTAAGCAGTCACTAGCCTAAGTCCTGTAAGTGGGTGAATGAAATAAAACCATATACATTCACATTTCTAATCTTAAATGTAAAACTAAATATCACAAAGTAAGAAAAAGGCTGACAAAAGGGAAAAATTCACAGGGTAAAATGTTAAGGAAAAATATGTTTTGTCTATATTTGTAGAAATATGTGAAGATAAAAAAGCCAAAAATTAGAAAGCAACTTGGGTAACTGAAAACCCTGATTTGTCTTCAAGATGTAACTAGGTACTTTTGGCCTTGAAGTTTTGTTATTTAATGTGTTTGCAGTCAGAAAAATAAAAGCCATGAAAAGGAAATTAAAAAAGTCTTTTTATTAATTTTGAGCTTAAAGTTTAAATATCCCGTATGTCCACATGTATAGTTAGACATTCTCCCTCCTCGCCCCCCATAATTAACTCTTCACAACGTGTTCATGTTATGGGTACTTCATATTATGGATTATGGGTAATCAATAACTTTATTTTGAACAAAGTACAATTAGGAAACTATACATTAGCTTACATTAATTTTAATGCTAGTTTTCATATTTTATTACAACATAACATTTCCTGCAAAAAATGACATCATAATAGGCATTTGATGTTTCTATAAACAAACCTCCAAAAGGATGACCCCGTGACCTCTGCCCGTGCTGTTGCTTCTGTGATTTCCTAACCTTTCACAGCAAAACGCATTTTGCGGGTGTAACTAGCATTACTATTGGCTGACTTTAAAATAGGGAGATTATTTCTGTGAGCCTCATCTTATCACAGGGGCATTTTAAAGCAAAGCTTCCTTGTGTCTAGTGGCAGAAGAGGAAGCCAGAGATTCCAAGCTCAAGGACTAGACTAGCTATTGGTAGCTCTGAAGATGGAGGGGCCCTGTGTAAGGACACAGGGACCTCGGTATTACAGCCATGAGAAAGTGAACTCTGCTGACAACCTGAATGAGTTTGGAAGCTGATTTTTTCTCAGAGCCTCCAGATAAGAATCCAGTAGAACAAACAGCTTAATACTGACCGTGTCTGACCCTAAGCAGCAAGCCCAGCTGAATATACCCAAATCACACCAGATAATAAATAGGTGAGTTTTAATTATAATATGTCAATACTTTTTAAGGTCTTCACATATTCTCTTGAGGGAGGGCTCTCTCCTGCAGTCTCTCCAGGTCACCGCAGATGAGGAAATAAACTATACCAGACACAATTGGCCTGTCAGAAGAAGGGGTTGGCAATTCCCTCTAGTGGAGAATGCCCTGAGCCCTTCCCTTGAAGTGGCTTTTATTGAGAACGGTATGTGCAGATGTATACAGCATGCATACAAAGCCTACCAATCTACATTAAAAAGCTATAGATAATAAATTGAAAAAATACAGAAGTTTGTCTTAAATCAAGGTCTGTCAGACAAGTTGGTGCCAGATAATCATGAAGGCACATTTTGGGGGCTCAGAAATCTCGTGGTGGTGAAGTAGAACACCTGGTTTTTTCCTTATCAGAGAGGGCAGCGAGAAGCAGAACAAGCTTCAGTAATTATGTTGTATTTTTTAAAACCCGATTTCCCAGGGGACCCTCACTGTTAGTTACCGGCCCATACTCCTTCCAGCATTCCTGGCTTTCCAGTCGAGGCTTATAGGCAGGAGGCCTAGCTTGCACAGGGCTACAATTCCTGATACCAAAGTGGTCCCTAACATTTTTTGTTTTCAAAAAAAGAAAGTTATGTGTAGAGATGGGATTTCAGACTACTAAAGTGAAATGAAATTGTGAATTTTCTTAGGAACTAGAAAACACTTGACTTCACTCAAATAATTAACAAGGAAGGAAAAAACACATATAATAGCAGAACTGTCAGGAACGCATAATAATACAAAACTGAAAAGTCAGTTTTAGATTTATTAAAGTACTTACTTTATCATTAAGCCTAGAGAAGTCAGTGTATCTTCTGAAAACTACCCAACTTTCTTCTGGATTTTTCTTTACTAGAATTTTATATACCTGTGAGGGAGGGAGGTTAAAAAATATATGTAAAGACATTTAAAAATTCAAATCAAATATTAAAAAAACTTCTACTTGACAATCTACAGCATAACAATTATTATGTAAAAAATATCAGAGATCACTTATACAATGAAATGTACAAATAATTGATGTAGGCACCAAAAGCAAGATTTTTTCTTAAGACACAAGACTACGACAAATTTGAGCCAAAACACTTTTTTTGGTGCACAGGAACAATAAATGAACTCATCAGCTTCCAAAATGTATTTTATGCCACACATTTTAAAATTGATAAAAGAATCACTTATGCTTGAAAAAGCTACGAATAGGCACTCGTGTCCTATACAATCAATTTAATTTTTAAACTCAATACTACAAAGTTCTGAAATAAATTTGATGTTTTACTCTTCAAGGCTGAAATACAAGCTAAAAAATATCCACATTAAACTTTACATTTCTATAAATATGCACAATTATCTAGGGTATTAAATTAAAAAAAGCTTGTTTGAATCATGTCAATATTTTTAAAAGCTTTTAAGCAAAAAACTAGATTTTATTTTTTGTAAGTATAATTTTAGAATTTATTAGGAGGAAGCACTATTTATAACAAAATTGCAAAGCAAATCTGGTAGTTTTTTGTATAGGCATTTTGGACTAAACTAAATATACAGCACTTATGAAGTACTTAACAGTATCTGCTGAATGAGTGAAACTCTCGAAGAGCAGCTTGTTTTCTTCAATTCGGCTATGCAATAACTTCAATTGTAGCTCTAGAGCTGCAGTCCAGCCACATGTGGCTACTGAACACCTGACAGGTGACTAGTCCAAATGGAGGTGTGCTGTGACTATAAAGGGACTATAGGCCATCCTTACCATTTCATTTGATTTTCTCCCTTATAGACTTCTCTTTCAGCATTTAAGGGGGAGAATCATCAAGTTAAGCAGGAATCAGTGTAACATATAAAAGTGAGGAAGATCATTTGGATATCCTCTAAAATGTCCAGAAAGTCCTGATCTAAGATAAGCATAAGGGGAATTAAAGATAATAGTGTCTGACACACAACAGGTACTCAAATATGTTAAATTAATGAATAAACACAACTAATTTCATATCTGTTGTTTACCTCTTCCTCTATGATGTCTTGAAAGGATTTATATACCATTGCCTTAAATTTGCCTATGAACTTGCATTTTCAAACACACCACTTTGATGAACACTCATTCCTTCATAAGGAAGGTAGGTCAACACAAGAAAATGTGCCACTAGTGTCTTATTTTGGAAATCACTCTAAAAAAAGTCAGGTTCATGCAGATTTCTTAACACATCACTACTCTTATGAAAATTTAACCGTAAAGACCATCTCTTCATAAATTTTCTCAATAATTTTTTTCTTGGCAGTTCTTTCATACTACCCTAAATCTGCAGCATTAAGTGGCATAAACATATAAACTTGACCTCAAGGAAACACAAGAGAAAGAATGAACTATTTCAACTGATAAGTGAATTTAGCAAAGTTGCTGGATACATAAACATAAAGCCTGATGTATATAAACTAGCAAAGAACAAATAGAAAAGAGAAAAAGATATCAAGAACATCAAACAACATCCATACCTAGACATAAATCTAACCAAAAGAGCTAAGACCTATGTCCTGAAGACTACATTGCATCATTATAAAAAGCCAATGACTTAGGTATACAAACTAAATTCACAGATTCAAAATCTGTTTTGTAAAAATGTCAGTTCTCCCGAGATTAGTCTGCATTCAATATAATTCCAATACAAACCGTCAAGAGCAGCCAAGACAATCTTGAAGGATAAAATAAGAGTATGTAGGCTGCCAGATATCAACACCTATCAGGAAGGTTTAATGATTAAGACTGTGGAATTGCTAAGGAGGGAAAAATGGAACCCAGAAACAGGTCCATATATTTATGGTCATCTGATTTATGTCATAGGCAACAGTGCAAATGCAGAGGAGAAACAGTGAGTTTCTCAATAAAAACCTAATCATTTGTGTGAAAATGTGCCTTGAACTTTACCTCATGCCATGGATAAAAAATTAATTCCAGATGGTTTATAGATCTAAATATTAAAGGTAGAGCAATAAAGCTTTTAGAAGAAAAAAGAACATATTTTTAGTGGGAGTAGGCAGATTTTAAAAAATGCTGACCATAATAAGTCAATAAATTGGACTATATTAAATTAACAATGTTTATTTATCAAATGCATCTTTAAGGGTGTGAAAAGGCAAACTAGAGGATGAGAGATGATAGTCATGATACATGTTCTGAAAGAAAACTTATTTTCAAAACGCATGGAAAACTACAAATTAAAATGGAAAAGTCTTGCTCATAGGAAAATGAATAGAGATCTTGAACAGACTCTTCACAAAAGAGATTATCCAAATGGCCAAACATGTCTTCAATTAATTTAGTTATTAAGAAATGCAAATTAAGACCACATGTGGTATCACTCTACCCACCAGAACAGCCAAAATGAAAAAGATAGAAAAATATCAAATGTTGGGAAGGTGTGGAGAAAATGGAACTCTCACGCATCTTACAAGAGTATAAATTAGTATGACCACAGTGGTGCATTATTTCTATCTTCTAAAGCTGGGTATATGATCCAGCAATTTTATTCCTAGGCAGGTATTAACAGAAATGTGTCCATGTGTTTACTGAGTGACAAGTACTAAAAGGTTCATAGTGGTAGTATTTGTAAGAGCCCCAAACTGGAAATTATCCAAGTGTTCATCAACAGGAAAATGGATAAATATTCACATAAAGGAATAGTATCAGTAACAAAAATGAGTACCTACATTTACATGCAAGGTCAAGGAGGAATCTTACAAACACAATGCTGAAGAAGAGATGCTGTACTCCATGGTTTTATTTATGTAAAATACAAATATAGGCAAAATTAATGTAGGTTATCAGGAAAGACTGAAGGAGAGCATGCTGGTGATTATGGATGCTAGTTATGTAGTTTCTTGATCTGTGTGCTAGTTTCATAATTATGTCTGGTTTGTGCCAATTCATTCAAGTAAAACAAAAGTTTACTTCAGGAACAGAATTTAGAGTACAATATCCACTTGAATTCTATCTTCAAGAAATTACAAGTACACGCTAACATTAATGAATTTAACACAGGTGTAGAATACAGGTGAGTCAGTCTTTCACTTTCTACTGGTCTGCAGCAAAATTCAATACTCACAGTAAATTTAGCTCTTTCTTCCATCACTTCATAACCTAGAATAGTAGGTGTAGAAGGTCTATCTTCCAAATTCACTGTTTCAGGATTTTGTTCTTCACTTTCTCTTGGTCTAGTAGAATACTCAATGGAAGAATTTGCATTTGTAAATTTAGTTCTGATGAGGGGACTGCTATCCATTTGATCAGGCACACTTGTTTGTTTCAAGTTTCCCATATTTGAGTCTTCTAACTGGCCTCTTGAAGAGTTTGAGCTTGTTGAAATACTCCCAAAAGAAGAACTTCTTTGGTTTCTGTTGGCTGTAAAGCTGGAAGAAGAGTTCCCTATGGGCATAGGAACTGGGACGTAAGGGGTTGCCATCTTCTTTGGGACTTTGCAACAAGCCTGCACACTGCTGTGTTGAAACACTTAGAGAACAACTGATGTGCAATCCATTATTTTCTTCTTGGGAATCTGCTATCTAAAAATGAAAACAACACATTGAAAGATTGGTCTTTAATCTGCAGCATTACCCAAAAGAAAATATAATGTTCATACCCATTTCTTTAAATTTTGTGACACTCTATTCCTTTAACTGGAATGAAAACATGCCTCAAATCTTTCTTTAGTTGCAAAATATCATCTCTAAGGACTCTCATTTGCAAGGTAAAGAGAGCAGAACTACTCCACACCCTTTTTATTGACTCTCTCCCCCACCTCACATTTCTTTGTGATAGATTTCTGTAACGTTCATTTCAACCTTCCTGAGCTTGGAGTCCTAACAGTACTATATAGGGAGGGAAGGAGTAAAGGGCAGGAAAATTATTCACATCATCTTTTGATTTAATTAGTGAATCAACCAAAGGAATAACAGAAAACCAGATGCTTAGATGCTACAAATATCAATTGCATTTGGAACCCCCCCCAAAAAACCTTGTCCAAGTTAAATTAATCAAATAAACTCCAATGAACACTAAACTTATCTCCAACAATATGCAATGATTAAAAGTTTAAATGTTCTGCAGTTTCCCAATAATCCCTGATTCTGCTGTGCCATAAACTGAGGATACTTAACAACCTTACAGTTTACACTCATAATTTCTGTTGTCAACAGGGCTAGTTTATCTTATCTCAGAATAATTTCATAATAATACGAAGAAGAAAAGGTTTATCACTAAGTTAAGTAATAAACTAAGAACTGGTAGTAACTACAGACCAGTGACATGACAACAACGGGTCTGCTTACCCAACTACATCTACACAATTGCACCGGTGAGAAAAGTAGGAAATGAGGAGCTCGCCCTTGCAAACATGCTGAAATAAGAGTTTCACCACAGCACGTGGCTCTGGGAAGCCTTCCCCATCCGCAGACTCAAGACATAGGATACACCAGCACTCCACGGTTCCGTCTGAAGGCCCCCCCGCCCCCCTCCCCAAGACGAAACAAAGCAAAACAAAAGAACAACAACAACCAAACAAACCACTAAATGGACCTCAGAAATCTCGACCTCTTCCTGGGCGAGCGAGACCTCCCGGCGCTCCACCACACAGTTACCTGAGGCAGCTAGGCTGGGCAAGCATGCACCTCAGTGCGACCGCAAAGGGCGCTACCCAACGTACGGAAACAAGCTCAACAGCAGAGTCTGCGCTTTCTCGCCGCCGCCCAGGCCCACGCCGGAAACCCTCCGGCAGGTGCGGGGCAGAGCTTGGACGAGACGCTGCGCGACAAAAGTAGGCGGAGAGAGGAAAGCGGGGACGACAGGCGCAGCCCGGTCACACCAGCGTCCCGTCGCTAGCAGAGCAGGCCGCGGGGCTTGGGCTCGGCGAGCGGTAGATCCCCGCTCCCTGGGTCCCTGCGGTCCCACGACAGTCGCACCCCCGACGTGTGGTACCCCATAGAATGTCATTGGTGGCCTAGGGACTGTGCGGTGCCCTTCCGCCCGCCCGTTGTCAGCCAGCAGCGGGGTGCAGGTGTCACCGCACGAGCGCCCGGGACAGCGTCCGCTGCCCTGTCCCTACCTGAGCCCACGCCGCCGTCCAGTTCCAGCGCGTTTCCAGTGAAGGTTTTAATCCGACCCCCTTTTCCCGCAGCTCTCAGTCTCCACCCACACAGCCGAGTGGTCTCACGTGTTCGGCCGCCCAGACAGCAGCAGCTCCGCGACTCGGCCTGCCTCTGCCCAGCCGCCAACCCAGGATCCCCGCGCCGCACTCCAGGAAGTGACGGCACACGAGGGCACCGCCCCCGGAGGCGTTGGCATGCTGGGGCAGGGCTCTCTTGGCAGCTGGCTTGAACCTACATTCGTGGTAAGAATTCTCCTTTCTCTGCCTCGGTTTTATTTGTATAAGTTTTGAGAAACTCAGGCTACGGTACCAATGTTTTTCCGACAGGTGATAAGGCGACAATTCTCAGGGGGAACTAAGGCCAACAGAGGTCAGGGCTCCTGCTTTGCATTATGGGACTTGTAGTGTTCAACTTGGGCTGGGTCCAATTGGTTACAGATGGTGTTTTCAAGAATTAGCGCTTTAAGGGATGACAATCGAGTCTTAAAGTGGGAAGAGATAACACTGCACTGCAGCCTGTTTGTCTACATAATTCACAAGTTTTCATGGGCAGAGAACTGAAATTCTTTGGTGTTTGCTTGTTTGTTTTACAACCAGGAGCAATTTCGTCCCAAATGATACAGTGTTAGGCTTGTTTGATGGACGCATCTGAAAAATTGTAAGGTTTTGGGGAAAATAATTCTTTGATAGTCAAATATAAAAATTCAGACCACTTTTAACAGGTCTGTTTATCAATAGAAGTGTGCAATTTGATATAAATTTCATCTCATGATTTTCAAGGCTTTGTAATATTCCCAAGCCTGGAAAACACTGATAGTGATTTCATAACGTACATAGGAAGGTAATCTGGTTTGTGACATAACAATGGTTTTTGTTCATAATATTGCTCTTCCAGTGTGAATGAGACATAAAAAGAGAATTCTATAGAAACAGTTGACTAAAACATGAGGTAGTTTTCAGGATAGACTTGGAAGCTTTGGCCCTGAGGTGGCAGTTGTGTCCCTGAGTTCTATAAGTGAATAAGGATGTAGAGAGAAAAGAAAAGAAAAGAAAAAAAGGGTGCTTTGAACATGTCTATCACTTGTGGACAGGGCTGTAGGTGGTAGCAAAAATACCTGTGATGAGGAAAACCTGATAGTCCAATGTCAAGGAAGTCAAGGAAAGCTAAGCTTCCAAGAAGTAAAGGTGTGCAGATACCACAGGAGGAAGATAACAGTCTAGAAAAGGTTATTGAAATTGTCCAAGAAAAACATTCTTCATAGATTATTGAAAGGAACATACTATATGTATTCTTTTTAAATTTTTTTAAGATGAAATGTTTTTGTTTAAAAAATGCCAAGTATAAAAAGAAAATCTATTCCCCTGTACAGTATTTCACTCAGATAAAACCAGCAGGCTACATGCTGCTCAAAACACAGCCCCAGAGAGGATACGGAAGGCACACCACCCAGAACTGGTTTTCATATATCTATCCTATGTATGCTAGTCAGCAATGCCCCTCCCCCATCACCCACAGAACCCATCCCACTGGGATAAATAGGCAGGAGGGACCTGACAGCAGTAGGGAGCTGCAGCAGCTGTCTCACCTGAGTCCCAACAGCCTAAGAACAGAGCAAATGTTTTAGTCTCCCCACCCCACCCCACCAAAGGTCCTCAAGGAGGAAGAGGAGGAAAGAAAACTATGGCAGCAGCTGTGGAAGCTTGGAGCCAGAAGGGAGCCAAATTAAATGAATACATAATGTTGACCTCCAGGTTAGAATGCGCATCATTCCAGGAAAAAAACAAAAAGCAAAACAGGTAAAAATAACTTAAAAGGCAAAATTTTAAAAAATTAGATCAACTACAATCCTTTTGTACATTATCATGCCCGCTGTACACACATTCACAGTTTTTCTGTTGATACGCATTGTTGGTGCATTTTGTGTGTGAGGTCTTGGATTTGAAATAGTTAAGTAAATACCAAAAAGGAAGACCAGAAACAGAGCAGGTGGCTCAGCATTTGGCCCTGTAGCCTCTTCCATGGCACCTTTCATATGAAGGATGGGGAAGGGAGAAGGGGGAAGAGAAAAATAGGGAACCAAACCCAGGCAGATTTTTGGAGAAGCAGCTGGTAAAAGAGGCAAGTTCAAGTATTTCTCCCAGCATAGCCGAAGTCCCCACAGAAGGCACTCAGAAGAGTCGGAAGAGGTGACAGGGACTTAAAACGGTGCTAGTCCTATCCCACCCCAACCCATTTTCCCCCAACCTGACATGCATTCAGCAGAACTCCTAATGAAGGGAACAGTTCCATGGCAGGATTCTGACCCACTCGCCGCACCCCCTGGGGATTCTGCAGAGCCCAGCAATGCTGGCTGGACCTCTAGGAGGAGAGAGCATCGATAAGGAATTGAGGCCTAGGATGCAGGGAGAAGAGTTTCTTCCCCCTTGCTGGAGGTATCCTCCAGGGGCCTGGGGGCTGGAATGAGTTGTAAATGTTCCTGTATCAAGCACTGTCCTGCTTGGTGAGCAGTGTCACTGGTACTGAAGTTTCCCTTCCCTAGAGGGTCTGGCAGGAGGGGAGGACGTGCTGGAAAAGCTGCTATTTGCTGGGCCCCGGTGACAGGCTGTTGAGATGGACCTCAGCAGTTTCCTGGGGCAGGAGGACATCTTGCATCCATGGATGATTCTGGATTTCTTCAAAGGAAGGCCAATCTGATGGTCTCAGGGACAAGCACCAACTAATGAGATGTTGACACTCTGAAGAAACTCTCTGCCTGAATAAAACTTGGCTCCTGATGATCTCGTCATGATCAAAAGGAATATGTCCACAGACCACATCATACAGCAGGATCCCTAGAGACCAGACAGCCACCGACCTGCCATGACAATGATGGTAGCGGATCCACTCTGGAGGACTATACCGACACTCAGGTCCCATCAAAGTCTGCGTAAATGATGTCCTTGAGCAGCAACCTCCTCCCCCCCACCCCCGGAAGTCCGTGAGCTTAACCTCGCTGCGACTGAGGTCGGTGAGGATGCTCTCGTTCTTGATGTTGCGGTGGAGCACTCCGCAGTTGTGGCAGTGCCTCACGGCCTCCAGCACCTGCCAGAAGAAGCTGTTGGTTGGCTCCTCCTGCAGGGCCCCTCTCCGTGATAAAGTCGAAGAGCTCTTCCACCGGCTCGCGCCTCTCCAGGATCAGGATGAAACTGTCAGGCCTCTCGAACCAGTCCAGGAGCCTAATGACACCAAAGAAGCCGGAGCTCCCTTTCTTCATCAGGACCACTTACATAGGCACTTGGGTTCCATAGGGCAACTTTCCCCAGTCGGAAATCCGATCCTTCTCCACATGCTTGATGGCCACCGGCAGGTTGTTCGCGACCCGAATGCCGTAGTAGATGGAGCCGAATCCGCCACTGCCCAGCAGCAGGCCCACCTGGTACTGCAACTCCAGGGGCTTCTTCTCCTTGCCGGGCGCCAGTTTGGTGGCATGCAGGTCGTTGCAGGGCGTGGTGCATAGGTGGGCAAGCAAGTTGATTTTGGACAAGAGCACCCCAACCTCCAGAGTGTCGGTGTAGGATTACGTGTCTGGAAGCGCTGCAGTGGGAGCTGGGAGCTGGGGCTGGGGCAGTGCCTACAGCTGGGGCTGAGGCTGCTGCTGGCAATGCTGAGGACAGCTGGGGCACTGCTGGGATTGGCGACTGGTCGGCCCGCTGGCAGGGTCAGGCAGAGCCAAGGACGACGGGGTGGGCGGCTCGTGGGACTCATGCAGCAGGGCCACAGCAGAGGGGGCTTGCAGTTGCTGCTGCTGCCAGTCCCACTACCGCCGCCGTCGCTGACATGGAGTCCTCTGGGGTCTTCTCTGCCACTGCGGTTGCTGCAGCAGACCTTTAAATTTTTTAAAAAATATTTTTATTTATTTTTAGAGAAAGGAAGGGAGAGAGAAAGAGAGGGAGAGAAACATCAATATGTGGTTGCCTCTCACGCTCCCCCTACTGGGGACCTGGCCTGCAACCCAGTCGCCATGCGCCCTGTACTGGGAATTGAACTGGCAAACATATGGGTCGCAGGCCGGTGATCAATCCACTGAGCCACACCAGACAGGGCATACTATATGTATTCTTTATCTTCCAGAATATCTGCCTTTAATAAATGTGTAGATTTTACTTTCAGAAAGTGAACTGAACATTCCTTTTTAAAAATTAAAATTGTTTTAAAAATTGTGGTGTAATGACATAACATTAGTTTCAGGTGTACAATCTAATGATTCTATGTTTGCATATACTGGGAAATGATCACAATACATCTAGTTAATATTTGTCACCACACATAGTTACAGACAATTTTTTTTGTTGTGATGAAGACTTAAAATTTATTCTCTTAGCAACTTTCAAGTGTGCAATGCAGTATTATTAACTATAGTCATCATGCTGCTTGGATATTACATCCACAGGACATATTTATCTTCTAACTGGAAGTTGTACGTTTGACCTCCTTTACTCATTTTGTTCATTTTCTACACTGTGCCCCTGGCAACCACCAATATATTCTCTGTTTTTATGAGTGTAGTGTTTTTTTTTAATTCTATATATAAATGGGATCATATGGCATTTGTCTTTCTCTGCCTGACTTATTTCACTTAGCATAATACACTCAAGTTTCATCCACGGTGTTCCAAATGACTAGCTTTCCTTCTTTTTATGGCTGCATAGTGTTTTGTGTGTGTGTGTGTGTGTGTGTGTGTGTGTGTGTGTATCAAAATTCCTTTATTCATTTATCCGTCCTTCGACATTAGAGTTGTTTCCATATCTTTTCCATTTATTGATTATTATAAATAAAGCTGCAATGAACATGAGGTACATATATCTTTTCAAATTCATGTTTTTCTTTTCTTTGGATATATACCCAGAAGTAGACTTGTTGGATCACATGTAGTTATATGTTTAGTTTTTTGAGGAACCTCTGTACTATTTTCCATAGTGGCTGCACCCATTTAAAAACTTACCAGGAGTCCTAAACAAGTGTTTCCTTTTTCCTACGCCCTCACCAACACTGGTTATTTCTTGTCTTTTTGATAAAAACCATTTTAACAGATGTGACGAGATAGCTTATTGTGGTTTTGGTCTGCATTTCCATGATGATTAAAAATGTCGAGCATCTTTTCATGTATTTGTTGGCCATCTGTATGTCTACTT